GAATACCAATGACTAGCCCAATCAATGTTGCAACGCAGACCAAACATACATCATTCTCATCACAAGGTGTGAAGGGGCCTGGCGCTACACACAGGAAGAATGCGCCAGGTCCAGATCATGAGGGGAACAGACGAAGAAGAAGGGGAGAGATGGGAATGTCGTCAGTTACAAGTCCCAAGTAATCCCTCGTCAAAATGTCTGAAGCCCAATGTCAAGTCTGCATCCGAATGTCACCAAGCCCGCTCTCTCATAGTCTGCTGATGCAGTGAAGTCAGGTAGCGAGAGGGTGAGAGGGAGATGGTGGACTGAGAAGAGGAAGAAGAAGAACTCTCTCTCTCCCATGTGCCAGGTACTAACCTGTGAAGATGGCGCTGTACTGCAGGTACCTTGAAGAAGAAGCTGGAGCTATGGCGCTGCAGGCCAGTCTCCCTGGCCTCCGCCCAATCTCTCTCTCTCTCCAGTACTACTCTAGCTCCTACTAGCGCCCAGCGCTGAAGACTAATGCTAACGCTACTAGCGCCCAGCGCTGAAGACTACTGCTAGCGCTACTACTACTCCTGCAGCGCTCCTCCAGAGTGCTGCTGCCAAATCCTGAAGACTACCTCCTGCCTCCGAAACTGCACATAAAGTGCCTGGGAAGTACCTAGGAACCCCCTGCAGCGTGCGGGCCAGTCTTATATAGCCCTGGCCCGTCCAGGAGGCTGCTCTTGCCAATGCCAAAACGTGCCAGACCCTGGGGTTGAAGCTCAAACAAAGGTTGCCTTGAAAATAGGCCAACAATGGCCTGAGCTAAAACCCTGGTCTGGTGCCTGAGTTTCAGGGCAGGTCGAACTCACGAGGGCCTGAAAATGGCCCTCTGTTTCAGGCTGAAAAGACTCAGGGCCAGACAGGCCCTGTTTTAGGCTGACACGACACAGGGCCTGTAGGCCCTTGCTTTCAGGCTTTCAGGCTGAAAACGGCACGGGCCTGGAAATGGCCCGTGCAGCCTGTTGCAGGCGCAGCATGTAACTCTCTCTCTCTCTCTCTCTCTCTCTCTCTCTCTCTCTCTCTCTCTCTCTCATGTGTGCAGGGTCTCACCTCCTGCACTTTTTTTCTTTTAAGTTTACAAGCGCTCTACAACACGCCACCTCTCATTGGTCTCTACCATGACTACGATCCGGACGTCCGGACCGCCGTCCACACGGTCCAGATTCAGTCCGGACTCCAGACGTCCGGTCCGGAAGGTCCGGATCTGCCAAATTTCGAAAAGACTGAGGAGCCAAGCCCCCCAAACTTGTTTTGGGGGTTTTTCAGGCCTGTTCTTGTTTTCTGGGGGGGGGCGGACATGGTCTACCTCTATTATAATTTATTACTAATACGCAAGTAATGATTTATCAATAATTTGCTACCTCTTAAAGTTGCAATAACCAGCTTAAATATGCTCATGTCGTCGGCCAGGGGGGCACCCACAGGCCACAGTTCGGCCTTAGCAAGGCCCTGTGTCTGTGTTACATGCTGCGCCTGCAACAGGCTGCACGGGCCATTTCCAGGCCCATGACGTTTTCAGGCCAAAAGCCTGAAAACAAGGGCCTACAGGCCCTGTGTCGTTTCAGCCTGAAAGCCTGAAAACAAGGGCATATAGGCCCTGTGTCGTTTCCGGCTAAATCAGGGCCTTTCCGGCCCTGAGTGTTTTCAGCCTGAAACTGAGGGAAATTTCCGGGCCCTCGTGAGTTCGGCCTGCCCCAAAACTCAGGCACCAGACCAGGGTTTTAGCTCAGGCCATTTCTGGCCTATTTTCAAGACAACCTTTGTTTGAGCTTCAACCCCAGGGTCTGGCATGTTTTGGCATTGGCAAGAGCAGCCTCCTGGACGGGCCAGCACTATATAGGACTGGTCCTGCAGGCCGGCAGGTAGTTCCTAGGTACTTCCCAAGCACTTCACGTGCAGTTCAGGAGGCAGGAGGTAGTCTTCACGATTCGGCAGCAGCACTCTGGAGGAGCGCTGCAGTAGTATTAGCGCTAGCAGTAGTCTTCAGCGCTGGGCACTTTGCAGCGTTAGCAGTAGTCTTCAGCGCTGGGCGCTTTGCAGCGTTAGCAGTAGTCTTCAGCGCTGGGCAGGGACTTACCTGCAGCTCCATCGCTCCAGCTTCGTCTTCAAGGTACCTGCAGCACAGCGCCACCTTCACAGGTTAGTACCTGGCGTATGAGAGAGAGAGTTCTTCTTCTTCCTCTTCTCAGTCCACCATCTCCCTCTCACCTTCTCAATATCTGACTTCACTGCATCAGTAGACTATGAGAGAGAGAGAGAGAGAGAGAGAGAGAGAGAGAGAGAGAGAGAGAGAGAGAGAGAGAGAGAGAGAGAGCTTGGTGACATTTGGATCC